AATACAACTTTTTTTTTTTTTTTTTTTTTTTGGTCTCATATCCCTCTCCTCCCTCTCTGTCCCTTCCAACTGTTGGTCCCCTTCCCATTTGCAAAAGCTCTACTTGCATCATTTTTTCCTCTTTCTTTTTTCTAACCCCTTTCCCTCTCTTCCCTCCCTCACCTCCACCACTTGTCCACCATCCATGTGGAGAATATCTCCCTACTTCCCATTTATTTCTATTTTGCTCTATTTTTTTTCAGTTTCTTATATAAGAGAAACCATGTGACATTTAAGCTTGCGTCTCTGATTTATTTCACTTAATACTGTATTATGGCATCCACTTTTCCTACAAATGTTTCTAGTTTACTTTTTATGGCAGTGTAGTACTCCATCGTGTATATATACATTTTCTTTATTCATCTGTTCCAAGATTAAGCTATTATAAATTGTGCTGCTATAAACATCGGTATGCATGTATCCCTGTAATATGATGACTTTAATTTTTTTGGAATGATATCTAGAAAGGGAATAGTTAGGTCAAATGCAATTTTTATTTTTAGTTTTTAGGCATCTCCACATTTACAATGTATCAATTCTTTACTACTTGAGTATTTCAGAAAACAGCAACAGTCCTCAAAAACAGAACAATTCCAAGAAAAAGTCAGAAATATTTTTCTTACATTTCTACCACACTGGTTTGCTACGCTAAATCTAATAAACAGGCATGGATAATGCTATTATTTGTGAATGCTATTAAACAAAAGCATAAGAACAATTTGAACCTAAATTATCAAGTGAAAGAAAAACAATAACAAAAGGAAAGCAAGGCATGGTGACACATGCCTGTAACTGCAGCACTTGGGAAGCGGAGGAAGGAGGACTGCCAGAGTTTGAGACCAATGTGAGCTAGCCTGAGTGAGTTCAAAGCTAGGCTGAATTACAGAGTGAGACCCAGGTCTCAAAACAGTGACAACAAACAGCATAGAAAGGAGAGGAAATAAGCACATTTAACATCCACTGGGAGCCAGGAAACATGCTGGATGGACTCTTGCACATATATATATATATCATTTCGTCGTTAAAATGACTTTTCAGGCTGGGAGTGGTGGCGCATGCCTGCAATCCCAGCACTCAGGAGGCTGAGGCAGGGGGATCACTGTGAGCTCCAGACCAACCTGGGCTACATACTGAGTTCCAGGTCAGTCTCACCTACATAGGGAGATCTTGTTTCAAAAAAAAAAAAAAAAAAAAAAAAAACTTTTCAAAAGGTTTATCGTTCTTATGAGAAAAATAAACTCACACAAGTTAAAAATATGAAGAGTCACACAATAATTATGTGCTAGAGTAAGAAAATGTCTCTTTAAACCAGACCTAGTGGCACACGCCTGTAATCCCAGCACTCAGTAGGCTGAGGCAGGAGGATTGCTGTGAATTCGAGACCAGCCTGGGCTACATAGTGAGTTCCAGGTCAGTCTCAACTACATAGTGAGACCCTGTCTCAAAAAACCAAGGGGAAAAAAAAAAAAAGAAAATGTCTCTTTCTACCCGATTTACCCAGGATGCGCTATGTCTGGTGATTTTTAGGTGAAACAGCCTTGAAAGCACAAGGTTCCAAGTTTGATCTCTGTCCCCCCCTCAAAAGTTTTAATTTACATTAGAAAAAAATAACTTAAAATTCATAATTTGATGGGCACTATCCTTAGGATGAGGCTTTAAAAAAAATCAGATTTAAAAAAAATGCTATTAAGGGGCCAGGGATTTAGCTCAGTGGTTCTGCTGCCTGCCTTAAAGTGCAAGGTCCCAAGTTCAATCCCCAGTACAAAAAGAAAAAAGCGTCAGTCTCAACTATGTAGTGAGACCCTATCTCAAAAAACCAAAAAAAGAAAAGCTATTAAGCAGATGACAGAATAGTTCTCATGAGGATATATATAGAATGAGATTTGAAAAATGTTAGCAAGCAAGGAACTGCTTTCCTAATAATTTATCACTCAATATATAAAGTTTTTGTTTTGTTTTGATTAATGAAAACAAAGGGATGAATTTGTAAGTGAAAGTATAGACGTACCTGACATAGTTTGATCAAGTTTGTGGATAAGAGACTTTTTAGCACATTCAACATCAGGACTTGGGTAATCCAAAACTTGCCTGCACCAAACTAATGGACTAACCGATTTCTGCACAGTTGTAAGTTTTTTCTTTGGTGATGAATACAGCCTAGAAGAAAAAAAAAAGGGTAATATTCCTCATTAAGCACATAGTTATAAAGGAGGGATCTTTATGTATATATTTAAAATGGTTAAAAGTGATGGAGCATGTTTAAACTTACCCAAATTAATTAGTACACAAAAAGAAAATGATAATTATTATAAATATAACCCCAAATTTCAAGTACTAAATGAACCCAAATGAGGCATTCTGAAGTGCATCTTATTTTTCTTTACTTACTAAAGGAAACATCTGTCTTTACAATAGTCTACAGTACTCTGTTTTCAACAGAACTCAACTAGCTCCCTAATATAGCCCCATTACAAAGTCCAGCCTTGGGGGCAGAAGAACAAGCTAAATTTTTTGCTTTTCAACTCTTAATTTTTCTTCCCACCACAAAAACACAAAAATCTGCCATAAGCATACCTACACTCTGTAATATTTTCAAACAGTTATACATCTGAGAAAAGAAATACTTTAAATCCTCTGTAATGTCAATCAATTTATGAAATTACTTCAGTTTTAGGCATGAAGGAAGGGATATTTTATAGGTTTCTGGAGAACGTATAGTGAAGGAGAAAAGTGAGCGGAAGATAGAGAGATGTGTACTTAAGTTCCCTACTTCACAGTTCCTCAGAATAGTCCAGGTTACGTCAACTGCTAATACTATTTCAAGAGTGACTACACATGAAAAATATGCTTGATTTATAATTAGGAGTTTTCAAATTAAGACATGCTAAGTGAAATTTATGAAATAAAATTATGGCTTTTATATATCTACGTAGTTAGATGTTTCAAAAAGACAGGAAGCTGATAATTTCACATTGTACTCTAATCAAGCGAGGGCAATATTGTGAAGTGCCGTTCTCATATAAGTACATGTCTACAGTATAAGAACAGATAAACTATTTTTAGTGGTAACATGGCTTATTTATCCCCCTTTTCCTATTTCCTATCTTATCACTTAAGATCTATCATTCACATTAGCTTTCATCAGGATAACCAAGACTAACGGGGTAAACAATCATTTCTTTAATCCACATTCATTCACACAAAATACTAAAATGGAATCTCATTTTATGAAATAACTTATTAACAATTCAAAGTGAAACTAATAGGGTTCATTCTTTTTTTTTCTTTTCTTGGTACTGGGAATCAAACTTGGGGCCTTGAGCTTGCAAGGCAGGTAGCAGAACCACTGAGCTAAATCCCCAGTCCAGGGTGCACTCTTTTTCCAATCTAAATACTGCAAATGTTGCTGTAACAAATCTCTCAGTATTTTCACTTTAAAAATCATGGTAACTGTCATATACTGATACTATGTGAGCAAATGTAAAGCAAAGTAAACCTCTATAGATGAATAATAAACATTAATAAAACTATTTTGGTCAAAAAACATTTGGTTGAGGCTTCAAACTACTTCTAAACCTGCCAAAGGACTCATGAGCTGGGCTGTATCACACAACTTGATCGAAGTTGATCTCCCTTGGTCTTTAGGGAGACTCAGTTAATGCCTCTGAATTTTAAAAGAAAAATTTAAATAAAAATACTTGCAATTACTAAACACACTAACTGCTTTATTTCTTAGAAACACACAAACTTCAAAACAGCTATTTTGCCTATTAAAAATATTTTTTCACCAACACTTTTGAATTTTTAAAATCATAGTATATAGTTTAATCAAGAGGAACACTTTTTTTTTCCATTTTTTAAATTGAGTTTATTGGTACATTCTAGGTATACAGTAGTTACATTCATGACTGGAATCTTGTACCTTTACATGACAGGTCTTGGTTCTCATTTTTTTCCCTTGTCCCTGCCCTCCCTTCACCCCCTCCTTCCTTCCCCATTTACAAACACTTTAATTCCATTTTTTCATTTTTCTCGCAGTTTTTTTCTTTTCCCTTGTTCCCCTTCCCTAACCCTTCCCACTTTCCCTACACCTTTAGCCCTTTTCTTCCTATTTCACATTGTTAATTATCCCATTAGGATCTTGAGGACTATTATAGTTTTTCACACCAGAGAAACTATTCAGTATTTACATATGTGGGACTTATTTATTTCACTTAGGAGTATATCCTCAAAATGTATCCATTTTCCTATGAATGACTCTAATTTCTCATTCTTTATGGCTGAGTAGTATTCCATTTTATAGAAAAACCACATCTTCTTTATCCAGTTTCCAACGGATGGGCAAATGGGTTGTTTCCAAGTTTTAGCTATTACAAACTATGCTGTTATAAACATAGGTGTGTATATGTCACTGTGATATGATTATTTTAGTTCTTTTGGAAAGATACCCAGCAGAGCTATGGCTGGGTCAAGTGGAACCTCTAGTCCTAGATCTCTGAGGTATTTCCATATTGATTTCCATAGTGGATGCACCAGTCTGCACTCCCACCAACAATGGAGAAGGGTTCCCACCAACATTTGTTATTGGCTGATTTCTTGATAGCAGCCATTCTTTGTGGGGTGAGGTGGAACTTCAATGTTGTTTTCATCTGCATCTCTCGAATGACCATTGATGTGGAACATTTTTCATATATTTACTTGCTGCTTTTACTTCTTTGTCTGAGAAATGTCTGTTCATTTCAGATGCCCATTTTTGAATTGAGTCTTTATATTTGAGGGGGCTGATTGGAGAAACACACTTCTGATGGACATAGACAATTCATTGATGACTGATGCAACATAAGGGAGATTAAGATTTCTCAAATTTTCACTTTCCTAAAAAGTTTGAAACATTATTACATTATCCTATTACTCCTAAAATTGAATCAAGGGGTGACTGTTTAATGGGGCGATATACTCATTAATGGATTAATCCATGGAGGTTCATAGCTGAATGTGTATTAATTAGGAGGAAAGGCTGGGGCTGGAGGAGATAGGTCACTTGGGGGCATTGCCTTCAGAGAGTATCTCTTGCTGGTACTGTTCTCCCCTGGACTCTCCTTCCCAAATATGTACCATGAAGTAAGCAGTTTTGGTATATCATGCCCTTCTACCATGATGTTTCCACCTTGTAGCTAACTCACCACAGACTCAACTCTGAAATCATGAGCCAAATGAACTTTTCCTCCTCTCAGCGGTGAGTATTGGGTATTTTGTCCTAGCAACAGGAAAGTTGACAAATACATATGGGGACTTGGTATATAACAGAACAGGCATTATAAACTAGTGAGGGAAAAAGTACTGGGACAATTTTCTATCTCCAAAGGTAGACATGTAAAATTTGATTCCTACCTGACAAGTAAAACTAGAATAAAACTGAGTCACAGAAGTACAGTAGGAAACTGAGGCTCCACCCCAAGAAAGAATTTGGAACCAAGGCATACTGTCTCCCTTTTCCCTACCCCATCATGTGGGGCCCAGTGGGGAGTTGATCTTTTACCCTATCAGTCTGTAAGGAAGTGGTGTGAGCCCGTGCTTCACTCTGGCTGAGATGGTAGTAGCAAGTCCTGGTAGGAAGGTGAAAATTTATCCCAATCTAGATCCACACATTATGCTTAAATAGGGTGACTGCATGCTAAAATGAATATGATGCTTAGTGTCATAATATAACACCAAAAATGTCCAGAATATGATTGAAAACCACTCATTAGACTGAAAACAGTTAAAACAAGGACAAAGAACTGAAACAACTGAATCAAAAAAACACTAAGGCAGAGGAGCCTAAGTTTGAGGTGAGCTGACAATGAATATACAGAGAACCGGAGCCTGGCCTGAACTATGTAGTGAGATCCTGTCTCAAAAAATCTCTCTCTCCCTCTCTCTCTCACTCTCTCTCTCTCTCTCACATACTCTCTCTCTCTCTCACACACACACACACACACACACACACACACACACACAGAAAAATGACAGACATAAATATCAGTAAGTATATTAAATACACAAGGACTACATGCTCCCAAAAGGTAGATAGACTAGATTTTTTAAAAAGATCCAATGTTTTGTCTACAAAAGAAGCCCCTTAGATTCAAGGACACAAATAGGTATAAAAAGATGGGAAAAATATATCATGCAAATAGTAAACATAAGAGAAGTGGAATAGCTATATTATTACAGAAAATAGATTAAAAATGTTACTAGTAACATTTTTTTCTCTCATTGAGTTTAATGGTACATTTTAGGTATAGAGTACAGTTACATTCATTATTGGGATCTTGTACCTTTACAAGACAGGTCTTGCTTCTCATTTTTTTCCCCTTATCCCTGCCCTCCCTTCACCCCTTCCTCCCCTCCCCATTTACAAACACTTTATTTCCATTTTTTCATTTTCTCATATATTTTTCCCTTTGTTACCTTTCCCCTACCCTTCCCACTTTCCCTACACCTTTAGTCCCTTTCTTCCTATTTCACATTGTCAATTATATCATTAGGATCTTATGTACTATTATAGTTTTTCATACCAGAGAAACTATTCAAGATACACATTTTTTTTCTTTCTCAATAGTTAATTTATTCACATAGATCACTAATTCAAAAATATAAAATGCTTTATAATGAAAGCTCATTTACATAATTTTCATCTTCCTAGCCCTCACAGGCAACTTAGTTTCATTAGTTTCACACATATCTGCCCAGAGTTTCTTTAGGTAAATACAAGCATACATAACCTCATATAAATTTTAAGTCCTGCATCATATCTGGTGGGAATGGTTTTTATTCCAAGAACTTTTTCCTTCTTGGTGTAAGAAAAACTACTTGATTTCAGGTATATTGAAAGAAAGAGGATGACTGTCAAATTCCAATAACTTTTGCAGCTTCCCATGAGGCTCTCCTCTGACTGCCTTTTAGACCCCTGGAAGTTTGAATTCTCTCCTAACTCACTAGTTGCACTGTACTGCACAAAGTTCAATAAACCTAGTGTGATGGCAGTGACATTTGCACACACTAAAACGAGGTTGGGCGGATGAATCTATTATAGAGGTTTATCAGGTAGCAGTAGTCATGCTTTGTAAATCTAGCTTCATAGTTTTCAGCCATGACTTAAGGCTGTTCATTTATCATCCTTCAAGAAAGTTTAGAAGAAGCCATGATCTGTGTTAACACAATCACTAATATCAGCTTTCTGCCCAGGAGCTTCTATGTGGCAGAATCCACCACCGCTACATCCACATTTTACCCTCTCACTCATGGATACATGCTCTTTTTCTCAGCTAAAGCACAACAAGTTACATTTTGGGGTTATACTTTAAGTTAATGGTAGGGCTGGGGATTTAGCTTAGTGGTTCCGGCACTTGCCTTAAGTTAATTGTGTGCCTTTTCGCTCCTAGCACTAGTTAGTAGGCTTGGCTATCTCTATTGCTGTTCCTTATACTAGTAACATTTTAATACTTCAAGAAGATACAGTAATTATAAATGTAAACATAACAGAAGTAGAACTGAAAAGAAAGACAATGCAAAAATTTTGTTTGAAAGTTTCAGCAGGCCATTCTCAATAATTGAAAAAGGAAGTACATGAAAAATTAGTAAGGATATAGAATACTGAACATTATCAATTTTATGTAAGACTAACCTAGGAAGAAAAGGTTAAAAAACTCTCACAAATTAACAAAATTTGAATTAAAATAGAAGAGGCACTGCTACAACCACTACACATATTTTTTAAATTATATGGGAATATTATCATAACTTCATGATAAAAAATAGATAACTAAGCTAAAACAACAGTTGTGGAAAGACATAAGTTGCCTAATAGGACTCAAGAAGAAACAGAGAATCTGAAAGACATCTACATGTTCTTTCAGAAAACAGATCCAGCAGTAAAAAATTAAATGATTTCTCCCAAGACTGGGAATAAAGTAAAATTGTCTATGTTTATTACTTCTATTAAATGATGTACTCGAGCGTCCAGCCTGTAGAGTAAGGCAAGAAAAAGAAATTAAAGACATCCAGATGGTAAAGACAAAAGCAAAACTGTGTTTATTCACAGACAATCCTGTATATAGAAAATCTTACATAGGTAGGAATCATCCAAAGAACAAAACAAAATAAAACAAAATATCAAGTGTAATAAATGTGTTTATCAGGGTCACAAGATATATAAGATTAATAAGCAAAAAATCAATTATATTTCTATATGGTATCAATGAATAATCTGAATATATAATTGATTTTATTTACAATAGTATCAAAAGGAATAAAATACTTAAAAATTTAACAAAGAGGGGCCAGGGATTTAGCTCAGTGGTTCCTCTGCCTGCCTCAAAAACACAAGGGTCTGAGTTTAATACCCCCCCCAAAAAACCAAAACTCACATATTGCAAACTATGAAACACTACTAAGGAAAATTAAAGAAGACCTGAATAGCTGGGTGGGTAGCACACATGTGTAGTCCCAGCACAGTGGGAGGATCCCATGTTTAAGTTCCCTGAGTTACATCCCCAGTGCCCTCCCCCTCCATACACACAGACAACTAACAAAGAAATACACAATAGATCTGAATTTTCAACAATATTGTCAAGATGTTTGTTCTACCAAATTGATCAACACAATCTGGGTAGAAAACTTCAGCAGGCATTTTTAAAGAAATTGACAAACTGATTCAAAAATTTACATGAAAATGCCAAGGACAAAGAATGGTCAAAACAATTTTGAAAAAGAAAAATATTTTCCTTGCATTTGAAAATCTCTGATTTTGCTCCCTTCCAATTTATTCTATACATTTCAGCCAAAGTATTCTCCAAAATACAAATCTGATGCTATTAATACTTCTCTGCTAAAACTGCCAGATTTCTTTTACTCTTAGGATAGAATTTCTTCCAAAAATGGTCCAGCAGTCTTTGAGGCCTGACTGATGACCGAACTGCTGCAATACTTCTTTTGCTTCATTTCTCACCTTCCTCTACCACCCAAATCTAACAGCCACATGGAATGAATTTCTGTTCCTGGAAAGTCCAACACTTTGCTGCTAGGTCACTTGTGCATGTTGCTCCCCTTGCTTGAGGCAAGCCAGCACTCTGCTTACCTCACCCTCTCCTGCCCCATTTCACTCAGCTCATGTCTACTTTCTTCTGCGTCTCAGCTTACAGGTCAATTCTTCAGAAAAACCCTCCTTGAATATCCCTCTGAAACTATATTAAGTGCTCCCATTAGTAAAATATAGTGAAGCAAGATGCTTTAAGAAAGTATCATTGCAGCCATTTGGATATGCTCTATCAAGAAGGAAATTCTAACCCAACTCCCATTCTAATAATGAGATTTACTTTATTCATTTTTTTCGGTTTAATTTTGGAGGGTTAGTATTTATAATTTGAAAAAAGGCATTTAAATATGTGTTACAGGCAATAAAAATGCTACAATGTAAAAAACATTTTGCTAAGTAAAAGTCAAAAAACACCACATATCATATGACACCATTAATATGGAATGTCTGGAACAAACAATTCTGTGAAGAAGAAAGTAGTTCAGCAGCTGGCTAGGCATGGGATGGGAATGGAGAGAAGAGGAATAGAAAGTCTCTAATAAAATTTCTATTGGAGATGTAGAAAATATTCTAAAATTAAATTATAGTGATGGCTTAACAACTCTGTAAATATACTGGGAATCACTGAATATCAAAAACAGTATACCATGCTAAATTTTATGCTATGTAAATTATATGTCAATAAAGCTGTTAAAATTGGTTCTGAATAGCTGGGCGCGGTGGTGCACATCTGTAATCCCAGCACTCGAGAGGGAGGCAGGAGGATTGCTGTGAGTTCGAGACCAACCTGGGCTACATACTGAGTTTCAGATCAGTCTCAACTAGACAGTGAGACCCTGTCTCAAAAAAACCAAAAAAAAAAAAAAAAAAAAGGTTCTGAATAAATTGGCCTTTCAAGACATCACTTTTTCATTTGGAATAGTCATGACCAACCTTTGGCTCATGGCCTGCACTGTAGGTCTGGATACCTAGTAATGCAGTCATATAAGATTGTAAACTTTTAATGCTATTATGAGATTTTTAGTAATATTTTTCCCATCTCTATCATGTGTGGTGCTTGAAGGCAGACTGCATGGGCTGAAGGGGAGGGCACAGAGTGTTGTTCCCTCCATTTCCTATGCTCCTACACAGAGTCAAACAAATTAAAACTTGTTTGTACCAAACATTACTTGTGTGACTTAGCAAGAAAACGCAGTGATTACTGATACTTACCCACACATATGTAGGTATATTTGCAACTTCATTTTTAGTTAACATAAACATATTACCAGTGAACTTCCAAAAGGAATGTACAGAGTTGCAATCATTCAACTCATAGAAAAATTTGATCATGTCTCTTTACTATGACCTTTCATTCCAGAAAAAAAAAAAAATCCCCTGCTTCACAAGCATGCTTTACTTATATTTCTAATAATCATTTTTTGGCAATATATACATCTGTGAACTATTTCCATGGATTATGTATATGAGGAGTAAAATTAGTTAAAAAAATGTCTGGTATTTTGAGTATGCACTAAAAACTACAACTACTTCTCCTGAACCAGACATTGATATATTAGTGTCACACAAACAAGATCAAATATTCCATTAGTTTTATATTTATGTTGCCACTTTTAAAATGTTATAATAAAAATATTTTAAAATAAAGGAAATTTTGTTACTGATATGCACTAACTATATTAAATATTTTATATAAGCCCAAGACAATTCCCCTTCACTTAATATGGCCCAGGCAAGCCAAAAGGTCAAACACCTATACCTTAGAAAAACTAGCACAAAAGAACTAAACACTAGAAACGTAATTTATGGATAGTTAAATACTGAGAATCATTAGAAATATAATTATGAATGATCTGAAGCTGACAATAATTAGTCACATTTTGGCTCATATCTCACATGCTCCTGTGCAATATGGTGATGAAAAACAATTAAAAATATAATTTTTAAAAATGTAACAGCTTTCATTAACACAGAAGTGTACAACAAATGTACTTAGTGATAATAACCTTTTCCTTTACCAAAACTACCCCAAAGTTACTTATAGTTTGGAGTTTATATCTCCGGACTTTCTGTACACACACACAGAGCAGACCTCATTAAAAAATGGAAATAAAAAACAAGACTGTAGTTACTTGACTGAATTTATGATGACTATACGAATAACTTTTCATATTGTAGTCCACTGAAAATAGGCTACTGAAAACTAAGGAAAACAAAGATTTAACTTTATTTAAGGTAAAATTAAAAGTTACATTGAAACAGTCAATGAAATAAATTTGAGATTACTGTGGAAATTATTTATAGGCCAAGAAAAATAATTAGACCACAATACTTCAAAATCATGGCTCTGTACCTATTTATTGATAATGGAACACTAAAAGCAAAAGAATAGAGATTCTATCTTTCAAATTTAATACATGATCCCCAAAGCAGACATTTACATGTTAAATCTTTGCATTTCAATTAACACTGACTAAAAACCAAGACGACAATGTTTAAGTCATAATAAGAATAAAGAGCTAGAATGTGTTAATCAGAAACCAAGTTGCTTCTTTTGAGAAAAAAGATTGAGACCAGGAGTCTCCAATTATACCAGACTCTGCAAATGTGGCAAACATTACAAGAAACAATTTTTTAAATGTACACTACTATAAATATTTTCAGCTACAACTGCATACATATATATAAAGTACATGCATACAGGTTCTTACTGTAGAAGCCATGATAGCTCTGGCCAAAAAAACCCTTAACTTTTATCAAATCCTTCAAATCCTACAGTAACAATGCACATGGCTATAATACCTTCAATATTTTGCCACCTAAAGCTAAATTTTAAATTAATATTTCTTATTGTTAATATATATTCTGTAAAAATATTACTTATGAAATGATATGAGGGTAAAGTTAGAATACATAAAACACTGGCAACAGAGGTTTATTAACAATGAAAAAATTAAATACCTGTCCTCTCAGTGAATTTTTAAATGCCTTGTAGTATTTCTATAGAAGTGTCTTCAATTATTACAAAATAAAATAGTTTATCTATTTAGTGAAAATATGAAGGAGATAATAATCAGGAGGAAAACCTAAATGTATGCATATAGATGTGTTTAAAAACAGGCTAGCCTGGCCGGGCATGGTGGTGCACGCTTGTAATCCCAGCACTCAGGAGGCTGAGGCAGGAGGATCACTGTGAGTTCAAGATAAACCTGGCCTACATAGTGAGTTCCAGGTCAGTCTCAACTACATAGTGAGACTCTGTCTCAAAAAACTGGAAAAACCCAAAACCAAAAACAAAAACAAAAAAACAGGCTAGCCTGAAATATTATGTAACTAAAGTGTTAAAGAAAATTTACTGATATTTTAAGTTATATGCCAGGGCAGAGTAAAGGAAAAGGGCTTACTGAACTCTGCTTAACATTAAGAAGAACAGTCCAGATATTCTGTCTTGAGATATACGCACATGGAGACAGACTGGGTACATGTGAAGGTTCCTAAAGTTAGTTAGAAAGCACAAAATGCATTTGGATGGAGTATTTTTAGAACTCACACTGGCCTGAGAGAAACACAATCTATTCTTTATTTCTTTAAAGGATGACAGAAAAACTCTTAAAAAACTCTCTGAGAAATTTAAAGTCCCATGTGAGGACAGTTAGAAAAGTATATGCAAGTTGTGTATATGCACCTACAAACTCCAGCAATGGAGGAATAGATTGGGTTTCTCTCAGGCCAGTGTGAGTTCTAAAAATACTCCACCCAAATGCATTTTGTGCTTTCTACTTAGCACAAGGTAGAAGAGAAAGTCAACTATTATAAAATGAAGGGCAGAAATAACTATAAAGAGTTCATAATAGAATATCGTGTTTTTTTCCTGAAATATATAACAATGAAAATTTCAAAGTTTTTCTTGGAGTTACCATCTGGTTATCCATCTGTAGATCAGCAGACCCAGGGTCAGGGATTTAGCTCACTGGCACTGTGCCTGCCTTGCAAGCGTAAGGTCCTGAGTTTGATCCCTGGTACCACACACACACACAGATCAACAGAAGCAATTTTTTTCTACTTTAATTCTTACTAATTTCACCTTATTTTCCACTTTCTATAGGAAGCTAAATTTTGCCTAGTGCCTGTCCTTTAACTTTCTTCTCTTTCTCATCAGTTTTTTTCCCCTGTAACACTTACCAAAGCTACAGGTGATGACCTGAAGGTATGAAAACATACTTCCCAGTACATATATGAAAAACGTGACTGCTTTCTGTCTCCACATATTCAATCAGCACATCTACTGACTCATTAATGTCTCTCAAATCCACCTTTTCATTTCCACAGACCTTACTATAGTCTAGAATCCATCTGAGCAAATATAGACCAACTCAATAATCTGAACTGATTACCTCATAAATTCTGAACTTTTAGCCTTCCAATCTATCCTCTACCCTTCCTCACTTACCTCTCTAAAGCACAGATCTGCATAACACTGTTCAACAGTCTAAAAATTTCCCATCAGACACATCCCAGAGCTTATCAAGATCCTATACCTGATCCCAAACTATGACCTCTAACTCCAGTAAAAAATTCTCTTGTGTCACTAAAGTGACCAACTAAATGATCAACTTCATGCAGTATAGATAGCTTAACCCACGGATGTTAATATTTTTTTTCACTATGAGAATAAAAAGAATTTCCTTAAGCCAAACCAAGGCTTTTCCATGAAGTTCTAACCACCAAAGTTTTTATAACTACTTTTTATCATCTTAACATTGTGCTGCATCCACAGGTAGTCATCAAATGTTTATTCTTACCTAAGGTGACCATTCCAATTTGTCAAGGGAAGTTCTAATGCCTGGTGCCCGAGTATTCTATTTGACCCTCAAACAGTGAACAGGTTGCATAATAAATTACACTTGGTTTCCCCTCATTTTCAGAACAGTACTATTTTTGTCTTAGAAAATGTAAATAGAGCAAAGTAGATTATGATAAGTATCCTAATCTAGAAATGCTACAAAATCTGAAACTTTTGAGCGATGACTTAATGCTAAAGTGGAAAATACTACATTATGAA